CTTTAGATACAAAGTGGGTCTGGGCTCAACAAGTGCCTCTACCTGCTGCTGTACAGTATTACCGCTAATTGTCATCTTGGGCTTCAGCATATGCACGGTCACATGCTTCTGAGATGATCTCAGCTTCTCATTACAACATCCACTTTGTTTTTCCTATTTTAAACTAGCCTGCACTGGAACAAAGAGATCCGAGTGTCTGAAAAACGATGCCCGTGCGCTCTAACTCCCACAGTACCTACGGAGAGACTTTGGCGTGGCTAAGGCTCACACACAACAGACATAATTAACACACTGCTGTTGAATGAAGGGGGTGTGAGTGTACCTAATTATACCTACGCGTAACACTTCCAACCTGCATCATGTCCAACGGGTACTGAGGAATACATGTTCATCTGATGGCATCAGCTTAATTACCTCTCTGATTATGCAAGGAGGAGTAGGCAGAAAGTTTCCTTCGGAACGGTTCTGTCCCAGTAATTGACTGTTACTCTGGTGATGCCACGACATGCAATCAAATAATCAGCAAGAGGGAGCGAGCACAGAAAACAAAAAGGTCACAGGGACAAGCTGGCAGGCGGCACTGAGCAGAAACCTGAGCTACTCACCCGAAGGCATGGCTGGTGTTCCTCAAATTACCCTCTCAACTCAGGTGTGTGCACAGGAATATAGATGTACAAAAGACCCTGTGGCATAAGTAGGAGCAGCAGACGCCCGGATCTGCAAACTGTTTCCTTGAAACAAGTGTCTACGCTCATGCCCGAGTCACCTATAGCTCCTGGTGAGGGAAGGTGGGGAGACTTGAGAGTGTTACAAATACTTAAAGTCTTACAAATCCTTAATGGGAGGGTGCCAGGGGATGGGAACTGGCTTTTTTCAGTGGTGCCCAGTGACAGGACAAGAGGGAACGGGCACAAAGGTGACCATCGGCAGTTCCATCTCCACCTGAGGAGGGCCTTCTCTGCTGTGAGGGCGGCAGAGCAGTGGCAGAGGCTGCCCAGAGAGGTGGGGGAGTCTCCTACTCTGGAGCCATTCCAAACCCGCCTGGACGCTGTCCTGTGCCACTGCTGGAGGTGCCCCTGCTCTGGCGGGGGTGGCACTGGGGGAGCTCCAGAGGGCCCTTCCAGCCCCCACCAGTCTGGGATGCTGTGTTTCACAGAAAGAAAGAGGAAAAAAACAGTGTTCATGTGCCTCTGTCACCATATTCTCTAACAATACGGGGAGATTATCAAGCAGACGGTTCAACAGGTGAGTTGACGGTCATCTGTGAGACCCTCGGTGGCGCTGGACACAGAAAGCAGGCAGGGCAGTAGGAGGATACTATAAAGCATTAAGGATTTCCAAGCATACAGTAATAGTTACATCTGGCTTTTTTCACATCTGCTGAGCATAATTCCTCAAGCACAATCTGCGAACGACCATCACATGTGATGAAGACTCATTACAACGTGCCAAAGTCCCACTGCGCATCAATGTGTGGTGGCAATCGACCCAGGCCAGCGGGGAGCCAAGGTGCTCCCTGCAGCATCGCGCCATCCCCGCCGCCCTGTGCGTGCCATCTCCATCCACCGCGGTGAACGGCAAGCCACCACACGCAGATGGTCCACAAACCCTCCCAAACCCTAGCTGGCTGCTGGGACAGCTGATGTCCCCTGAGCAACCCATAGCCGGAGTGCACATCCACGGCAGGGAAAAAACCTTCCCAACTCTGCTCACAAGTCAATCAATCAAAGGCAGCCTGCCAAATCACACAACAGCCCCCGTGTCCTGCCATAAATGCCTGAAACCAGCGCGCCAAATCACTACGGGAACACGATGGAAACCCACAGCTGCCATAAGCCGCAGCTCTTCTCCTTAGTCACCTCTCTCATCAGTAACAGCCAAGTTCAGCAAAAACTGCTCATAGCAGTTATGCTTACAGACCTGATAAATGCAGAATAGCCACATTACCAGCAATTTTACGTTATGAACACACAATCTACAGCTGAACTTAAAGTCACTTGTAGCCACATTAATTACAATAAATATCGTGCATGTTTGCCACCTTACAGACACTTCTGTTTGTCTCTGCTTTGTTTCCATTTGATAGCCATCTCCATCACACGCCACCAGCCTTAAATTAATAACAGATGGACAGGCTAGGACTGCTCTATACCGAAACAGAATATCAAGTTCAGGTTCTGCTCTTCATTACTTAGGATTTTTCCTGGATTACTCTGGATTTACAATTTATATAACTCCTATGAAGTTACACCAGGTGAAGTTCTACCAAAGAGCTGCTGTATCGGATGAAGTCATACCAAATGAGAAAAGTTGTGCTTCAGAGTCATCAGCACATCAGTCACTGTCTTTAATGAGTTGTTGCAGTAATTACTGTACGTATTTAATCTCGCCCTTGATGATAGTTGCCACCAAGTTCTTCATGAGAAAGTGAGAATCTTTATCATTTTTCAGCCTTGTTTGCTTTTGAAATTACTCCAGAAGAGCAATTCCTGTTAATGTATCAAGATACCCTTCTCCCAAAATAAACGTGACATTTGTAAGGTGGAAATAATTCATTTGCATTGCAAAAATCAGATTGTGATCACCTGTCCTCAGTTCAGAATAGTTATGTGATCCCCCATTACTGCCACATAAACACGCTTCTGTTGCAGATGAGGTCCAACACGGCCAGACTGTTCCGGCTCCCACAGCAAAACCATCGCTCTGACAAATGGGAGTGGTAACAGCTCTCATCCTTTGTCCTCATGCGTGAAGGTGGATGAGTTATTACCGATGCTGAGAGGAAAGCTGCTCCCACCTCAGCTACACCTCTCCATGGCAGACAGCATTTCGTGCCTCTTCTGGTATGAAATCAAAGCAACTAATGAAGGACAAACCACACGTTAAGATTTTTGCTTTGTTTTTTTGTTGTTTGGGTTTTTTTGTTCCCCTGGCAAAATTAATGAGAGAGTAAATTAAGGGATTCCAAATCATTTTGCCGGATACCTTTGGAGCTGACTGCAACTCCCCTACTGCCAGTGGCTGCTTTAAAGCTGAGCTGTGAGTTTGCTTTGCAGTGGGTTGTGCGCGGTAATGGTACATACCACCGTTTGCAAGTCCCTGCTGTCAAATCAGAAATTCAGAAAAAGCTGAAGGCAACTCCTCGGAATAAAGCCGTCAGGACAGAAATAATGTGAAATGTGCAAGTGCAAATAACATTCATAGTTCATCTTAGATGCACTCAGCATGTTAATGCCTCAACTGTTTTGTTTATGTGCTACCTGTTTTCAGTGCCCCAAGGCATACACTATTAAGGCATAACCCAGCATAATCTAACCCGAAGTCTTCAAATGTTACAACATTTGCTGCAGAAGTGTTCTCCAGAAAACACCTCCCTGAAATTTCTAATTATTTAGAAATCTAAGCTGAAGATCTTGCTCTTTGGCATCAGGTTTATAAACCATTTCAGACACATCCTAAAGGACACTTCTAAAGGATCCTCTCCTTTAGAAGAATTAAAATCTGTAATTTCCATCCTCCTGGAAAGCAGTATTTCCAGTCAACACTTCTTGTGAGCAACCACTGGCATGAGGCTCTCGAGATCCATAGCCGTGATACAGCCACAAGGAGAGTGAGATCCACAACTGACTGACTGCTCGGTCAGGGGCAAGTCCAAAGCCAAGAGCAAAGGCACAAGAAATGCCACAATATGGAGACAGCTCGGTCAGAGACAGACAAGGCATATCAACTCAACTGCTTTAGAATTTTCATTTAAACCAATTAAATCTGAAAGAAAACACTCATTTAAATCAATGTAAGAAATCAATGTATAAATCGATATAAGAATCTATCAAATCAAGCATATAAAATCGTTTAAATCAATGTAAAATATAAAAAGGTTGGTTTTCTCCTAAAATATTTTGTTGACCAAAAAAAAATTAGCTTTCAATACAGCATTGAGAGAAGTAATTGAGTATTTGTTTTTACCCTATGCCCAGCCTTGACCGAGATGCTCCTTCCATTACCTTGCAGCAGTATCTTCTTTGCAGTCTGCCCGTAACACTGGACCTCCCTGACACTGGGGGAAAATGCAAATCCTGACATAAAATCCAGAGAGTGATAAATAGAGAGCCACCTAAATCTAAACTCTTCTTCAAACTTGGGGGTGGTGGTTGATGAGAAGGTCACCATGAGCCGGCAATGTGCGCTGGCAGCCCAGAGAGCCCCCCGCACCCCGGGCTGCATCCCCAGCAGCGTGGCCAGCAGGGCGAGGGGGGATTCTGCCCCTCTGCTGCGCTCTGCTCTGGGGAGACCCCCCTGCAGTGCTGCCTCCAGCTCGGGGGGTCCAACAGCAGAAGGACACGGAGCTGTTGGAGCGGGGCCAGAGGAGGCCCCGGAGATGCTGGGAGGGCTGGAGCCCCTCTGCTGGGAGGACAGGCTGGGAGAGTTGGGGGGGTTCAGCCTGGAGAAGAGAAGGCTCCGGGGAGACCTTAGAGCCCCTTCCCAGTGCCTAAAGGGGCTACAGAAGAGATGAGGAGGGTCTCTTCATCAGGGAATTGAGCCACAGGATGAGGGGGAATGTTTTCAAACTGGAAGAGGGGAGATTTAGGTGAGATATGAGGAAGAAATTCTTTGCCGTGAGGGTGGTGATCCCCTGGGGCAGGTTGCCCCGAGAAGCTGTGGCTGCCCCATCCCTGGAGGTGTTCAAGGCCAGGTTGGACGGGGCTTGGAGCAACCTGGGCTGGTGGGAGGTGTCCCTGCCCAGGGCAGGGGGGTTGGAACTGGATGATCTTCAAGGTCCCTTCCAACTCTAACCGTTCTGCGATTCTATCATTCATATCTATCATTCTATCATTCTAACAAAACCACCTGAAAACAGCATGTACAGTTTGCTCCTAAACAGCTCCTACCGCTACGTGGCTGCACACGGTCACATAGGCTTTAAGCAAGAGAACAACATCAAAACACAAAAGACAATGGGGACATCAAAGGAGCGGGCAGGGTCTCTGCTGGAGGCTCACCTGTTTTATTAGAGAGTCGGAAGGACACCATCTTGTCAGGGATGCTGCAGACATTCCTCACCGAGGCGATGCAGCTGTAATTCGCGTAGTCCTGAGGTCGGAGGTTCTTCAGCTTCAGGATCTTCGTTTCTCCCTGCATGTGCAAGAGAGAGTGTTAGGAAGAGGCTGAGGCAGAGGAACAAGCAGGGACGTAGGATACACTGAGACTGGCTTTCAGGAGGCAAAAGAAAGATGCAGAGGTGGCTAATTAGATGAAGATGTTGAAGTGGTCCAGAAAACATATTTTATTTAATTTTCTGAAAGAACAGCAGCTGGAATACCCTAAAACCATATCCCCACTTACATATTAAAGGCAAAAGTAAAGAGAGCAGCGAGGGGGAAATTGGTTCGATAGAGTCTTTCAAGTTGCAGCATTATTCAGGATAATATAACTTAAAGTACAATCTACATGATGAAAGAAATCACAACGTTCAGAAATCCTGCTGTTTTCCTTTGAAAATGAGCCACTGATGGATTTTATTTTTAGCCAGCAGTGGAAATGATGGAGCAGGGACCCAAACGGGATATGTAATGAAGGAGTTTCTTCCGACACAATCAAGAGAAAACTGGAAAATATCAGATTTCCACTGCAGTACTATGTGCAATGGGCACTGCAGAACCGGAAACGCAGGAGAAAAAGCAAGTTGCTGACATTTGTAGGTAAAATCTTACAGCATTGTCAGCAACAAGAGTGACAAAAAGCCAAAGGGAGTGTTAGATACAAAATCCTGAGCAGGCAGAGATGCCGTGGGACAGAGCAGGGAGGAAGAAAGCAAAGGGAGCACAGCAAAGCTCAACAGGGTGTCAGGCGCGGAGGGCTGCGGGAACATCAGATAAATCTGCATGTGTCAATACCTCCGCATTATTCCCTCTAGCTTCAAAATAACAAACTTCCTCGGGCTTTCAGTCTCCTCCTCCACTCGCCTGTGTTCAAGTCTTCGCCTGTGTTCACACTGATAAGCTAAAAACGTATCGTGCTTGGACAAGGCTAAGGCAGAACCCTGGCCCAGGGAGGCAGACACTCGGAACGGGCTTAAAAGACCAGATTTTGGCAAATGTTCATTACCACGTGTCCTGTTCATGCTCCTACAAGTTTTAATATTACCACAGCTTGAGCGACCTACTGACTTTCTTTTAACAATATCATGTCCACCAACTGCCCAGCTGCTATATAAGGCCGTATAAAATACGGTAGTTTGTGAAAATGCATGTACAGAACTAGTAAAAATCAATAAAAGAGAGGATACAGCTAGCCAGACAAGAAAAGAGACAGTCATGAAATCAAGCTTGGTAGCTTTGGAGCGTTGGAACTGAAGTGTTTTGTATGTGCAATCAGTCCCGCAGAAATTACGTGATTTAAGCACATAATTAAGCACACGCTGATTTAGTGTTTGCAAGACCAAGCCTTTTAAAGGCTGCTCCTAAAGATAGAGATCCTACTTTAAGAAGAGGTTTATCTGGGCTGGAGAAGGGCCCGATCCAGGCTAGTAAGAACACAGCTACCAAAGGCGTTGGGTCCTGGAAACGCAGAGCAGCCACATCCCGCCAATTCAATCCTGAGCTCTGGACCCCAAGTTGAACTCGTGGGCTGAACTCACAACGGTATCCGGAGCATGTCCCTGGATTGCAGAGATTTATAAAAATGTATATATTTTCTTCATTGGTTTGGATAATTAGTCTAATTATGTCTAATTGCATAATTATTGTAAATACAGCAAATTTAATCTTGTACTCAGGCTGTGCAATTACAATGTGCAATGAGGATGATGCAAACTGTTCGGAAAAAATTCTGCATCAAGATTTCGGTTTTGAGAAGTTTATCATTTCAAATACTCCCACAGAGGGGAAAGTCCATGTTTGTTCAACTTTTCTCCCCATGGCAGCTAAAATAAGTAGCTGACACTACCTGAACCATAAAAAAAAAAAAAAAAATCAATCTGGTCAACGTTCAAGAATCCATTTGTATATGCCCAGTTTTCCAGGTGCCTTCTATGATTTAATACAAGAAAAACACCAGAAAGAAAAACTAACCTTTTTGGGGGTACAATATCTTAGAACATTTAATTGTGTTACTGCTTTTTCTTTTAAGTTTCATTTGATTTTGAGATTGATGGAGAGGGACTTTATACAAGGGCATGAAGTGATGGGACGAGGGGGAATGGCTTCAAACTGGAAAAAGGTAGATTTAGATTATCTATTAGGAAGAAATTTTTCACTCTGAGGGTGGTGAGCCCCTGGGGCAGGTTGCCCCAAGAAGCTGTGGCTGCCCCATCCCTGGAGGTGTTCAAGGCCAGGTTGGACGGGGCTTGGAGCAACCTGGGCTGGTGGGAGGTGTCCCTGGCCATCACAGGGGAGTGGAACTGGATGGTCTTTAAGGTCCCCTCCAATCCAATCCATTCTATGATTCTATGATAATCCACCTTCAAAGCATTCACCAAAAAATGCCACCTCAAATTCGTATCGCTTGATGATCTGAAGTCAAATTCCCATCATCTCTTACTGTTTGTTACCATATCATAAGCTGAACCAATTATGCAGAGATGTGCAGTAGACGTTTATGACTCTTGAGCCTTTAATTACATCTTTTCTTCTTATAAACATATATCAGATCTTGTAGGCACCCCAACAAGATACGCTAATTCAACCTGACCTCCAATAAATGTAAAAAGGTTATGGATAAGCTTCCGACTATCAACATGACAATCTGATTTATTCATTAATTCAGCCCAGACAGAGGTTCTAGGAAGAATGCTCCTAGTAACCTAGAAATATTTATTTTTTAAAAAATAGTGAATCTAATTTCATGTGATGCATTTTATTAGATATGTTCTTATTAGATGATAGGGAAGGTAATCATCAGCATTTCCATATTGAAATATAACACAAAAAGTCCCATGTCAAGGGAGTCTCTCACTTTTTAATTAAAACATTAAAAAACTCCAGTTTACACACTTGAGTCCTAGGAAACAAGCCACAGATCTGCTAAACTGGGTCTGTACATGTTAAATTAGAAATAATCTCATCACATTTAGGAAACCAATAACTTGACTTTGTAATCTAATTCTCATCTCCGCAAGGTTCCAGGCTACACGTTTCTCAGTAAAATACCAAGCCACTGTAGCAATACAAAGCTGTCAAGCACAATAAAAAGAAAAAAACGAAGGTGCTCTCAAATCATTAGCTGAAAATTATTTATGAAAGTTGCAGGTTGCTTTCTGCTATGAAGACCAAATTATCAGACAGTTTTCACCTCTGTCTTTAGTTGTTATTGCTTGAGACTTTCCAAAGCAATTTTTTCTCCTTTTTGCCTTTTTTTTTTCTTTTTGCAAACACTGCCACACACTTTTGTCCATAGACAATAGGATATGCCACCTTTTCATTCTGAGAATGTGCAAATGTGCTAACAATAAATTAATCTGATCTAATCTGACAGACTCTTTTGATGGCCCAGTCTGCCTTCATGGCTGTGAGCGAGCGTAGGAAGACTTAAAGAAGCACTCCTTTCCATTTTTGCCACCTCATCTTTTAAGTGTGTAATTCTGGAACAAAACCTTATATTCAAAGAAGTGAAAGACAGAATAAAATAAAAAAAACCCAAAAACCAACACACACGGAGTTGCCATAGAGCCTAGCTTTCTTGAAAAGCTTTTTAGGCTGTAACTTCTGTGCAGAATCACTTTGCATTGTATTGGAAAAGATTAGGAAATAGCAGTCAAATCAGAGGTTTGGGCTTGCAGCGCCCAAGCAAAATGACTTCAAAGGTGCTCCTGCAGATAGTGCTCACCGTGCGTCTTCCCATCATTTCCTATGTCATAATTCAACAAAGAAAAAAATAAAATTAAAAGACGCATTTTATATCAGGAAGTCTTAGAACAACATATGGGTGCATTTGCGCTGAGTGTAGTTATCCGGAAGGCATGCTCACGTACCCACACCACCAACCCAGCGGGGATATGCAGGGAGACCCAGTTACAATGAATCTGGTGCAAGGAACCTAGGGAAAGGAAAAAAAAAAAATCCCGTCCCCTCATTCCTACCTGGGTAAAGAAGGGCTCGTAGATCTCCACTCCTTTATCAGACCCTTGCAGCAATACCTCTTGGCCGCGTCGCCAGCTGTACCGAACAGGCGGATTGGAGTTGGCAACGCACCTGAGAAACACCGTTCTCTCATAGTAAAACTGCTCTTTTGCTTCCCCGATGCTCTGGTGGACTGTTACTATTGGATCGTCCAAATCTGTAAAGACAGGGGAACAAAAAACAAACAAGTGAGATAAAGTCAGGCTTCAGTTGACCCCACGATGGTTCTATGATGGGAAGCGCGTGCATCGCCTCGTATACAAGTCAACAGCAAAATAGAGGCAATACAGCTCTGAAAGCCACAAATGTACATTTTAGGGCTTTTGCAGCAGAACCCTGTTTTAGAGTTTGTTTTCATCTGTACAGCAACAAGAACTGGATCTTCACTTACAACTCGGGCTTTTGGATATAACAATATATATGATACTGTACAGGACAATATCAATTGTATTTGTTACGTTCCCACTAATACTTAGGTTTCACCTGTTTTTCATCTTTACTACTTGTTTCCTATGTATGATTTCTATTTAAATGTTGCTTAGACAAAACAGTTTATAAAGCTTTGGAAATAAATAGACAGACTAATTTGCATCCTAATGGTAGGATCCACTAGAGCATAGATCATGTGAATGCATCTGTTTTCCTTTAAAGCAGCAATTTAATACAGGAAAAAATGCATATTCCCTTCTTTCAGTTACATGCATTTAACTTCAAGCAGGTAAATTCATCACAGGCTTTAGAACACATTTCTCTTGATTAAAATACAGATCTCATATAACTACTCCCACCACAGCAGCTCGAAGAAAATTAGATCCCCACAACAGAATTCACTCATCATAAATAGGGAAGAAATAACAATAGCCCTTGGAATGTGAGTACATCTAATTAATTAATTTGGTCTTTATTCCATCAGGAACAAGTAGATTCCTGTTTGCAGGGTTTTACTATTGTTTATTAGGAGCTTTCTCTGAAGGTACAATTACAACGAACAAGGAAAAAACCCAAAACAAACAACAACAACAACAACAAAAACAAAAGAAAAAAAAGAATGGCCATCTTTACTATAAACTAGTTAAAAACATTCAACCTCCAAATATTGGGGTTAGTAATTCTCTGGCGAGCTTGAGGGAGAAGAGACTCTACCCGGAGGGCTGGCAGCCATGGGGAAGTTGCTTCTCTAAGTCTAGTCCCATGTTTCAAGGGTACGTCCAGGTTTGGTTCCTACAGTGACAACGCAGGGACCCGTGCTGTTACCCACAGCGTGGGAACAACTTGCCGAATTATCCCTGTGCCGATGCGACCTGCACGCACACAGCAACAGCACGTTCCCAAGTGCAACTCAGCCTTGGCTGAAATAATTTCAGAACCTTAGCAGCAGTGTTTCTTCCGTACAACAAAATATAAATAATGCTTTAAGAAGCACTTAACTGATTACTCATCCACAAATTTAACCCTATTTTTGCAAAGTCTTGTGTGAGTAACTATCCAAATGCCAATTCATTGGGTTTCTTTGAGGCCATGATTCAGTGAAATGCAGAAAGAGGTGCTCAACTCTTGGCAGGACCACCGGTGTCCAAGGGAAGACCGTCATGCTCAAAGGCACCTGCGCACTTGAGCCCCTTGTCAACAGTGTTGAAAACAAGGACAGTCGTTTTGGAGGAAGCATCACACGCATTTTACCCCCATGTCCTGTCCCCAGATGCCAGCCAAACACCACCATCACCACCACAGCGTGTGGTGGCCCATCAGCACAGTAGTGCTTAAAAAATTTGGGGGGGTTGACGGCTTTTAAAAACCAGAGGCACTGCGGCAGAGGTGCAGGGAATTATTAAAGGAAGCCCATCATTAACAGCCTGAATAGATCAGCATGTTTCAAACGTCCACGCTGAAAAGCAGTTTCCACTTAAAAATTATTCTTTAGATGCTTACATTTTGATTTGCATAACAAGAATAAAGCTTGAGAGTCTCTTGATTAATTAGAAACAAAACCTGTTCCAAAATTCGGAATAATTCAAGCAATAATACCTTGTAATAGTGCACGGATTTCAAGTAAATGTTACCTTCATTCTACTCTACAAAACATTTAATTTAATATCACAGAAACAAATTATGAAACTGTTGCTCCAAATTAGGATGGCATTTTCTAATGAGATTTCATTTTTGTTTTAAAGGTTATTTTAAATCACAGTAGCATTTGAAAAGGGATGAGATTGCTGAAACGTTATGTCTTCTACTCATGCGATAGAAAATAAAAAGAAGGAAATTAGCTTCTTTCAATTTCTAGGCCAAAACACCTGTTCCCTGTATTTTGATGAACAACAGAACATTTCACACCTGAACGCTTTCCAGCATCTGCTTATTAAAGCACATCCTTAGACCACAAACAAGGATGACTGACAGCCAAGAGCCTCCAATACCGAGTCAGGGGACTCCTCTTTGAATCTCTCACCCCTAGATGAAGGTGCATCCTCTCTGGTGAAATCCTCAGAGATCCAGGTCTTGACTCAGCTTCATTTTGATGAAGTTAATCAAGACTGGGCAGACTACATCACTTAATGCTTAAAAATGGGACTTGAGGGGCTTGCAAGGTCTGCCAGTGTAAGGTGGCAATCAACACCCCAACATAAGGCAGTCTGAGGCTGACTGGCCCAAGAGAGCTTTGCAGAAGAGGCCTTGGAGGTCCTTGTGGAGAAGCTGACCTGGAGATGGCCACCCACATCCCAGGCTGCAACAGCAAAAGTGCAGCCAGCAGGTCCAGGGAAATGATCCTATCCCTCTACCTCACAGCTGCCAGACAACATCCTGAGCAGCCTGTCCAGGTCAAGACAGGGACATACTGGAGCGAGTGCAGAGGAGGCCACCAAGATGATCAGAGGGCTGGAGCAGGTGCCATACAAGTAGAGGCTGGGGGGAGCTAGGTTTGGCTTGCCTGGAGAAGATAAGATGAAGGGGAGATCTAATTTCCATCTTCAACTGACTACTGGGAAGTTATAGAGATGAAGGCAAAGATGAAGGCAAATTCGTCTTAGAGGTGCAAAGAAAAGAGCGTGAGCACCAAGTTGCACCAAGAGACGTTCCTCCTGGTTATAAGTCAAAACAAATTCCCCAGGCAATCACACAAGCACCCAGAGAGGCTGTGGGATACCTTCCTCAGAGACATTCAAAGCTTGACCGGACACAGCCCTGAGCAATCCAACCTAACTGTGAAGTTGTCTCTGGTTTGAGCAGGGGGTTGGACAAGAGGTCCTTTCCAACCCAAATTACTCCATGACACCATAAGCTGTGATGCCACTGCTTGCTTGCGCTACCTGCTCTCTTGTAATGGGTCCACGCTAGATGGGTGGTCACCCCCTCCGACACCAGTACACCTCTACAACACGGAGAACCAGGCACCCTCTTTCCGCATGACTCTATGCCATGACAGGGGATGGATTTTGATAACGGTATAGGGAAACCTCAGAGAGATTTCAGTTGGGAATGCAAATGCAGCAAGCCCCCTGCCAAAGCATTTCATAATGGTCAATTAATAGCAAATCTGCACCGCAGAACTTGACTGATTTTTTTTCCATCGGCAGCGCTGGAAAGATCTCGACAGCTGCATCAAAGCAAAAGAAGCAGCACTAATAGGAGACAAAATAACGCTTGCAATTGTTGTGAGATTTCAGTGAACACGCAACCGCCCGCCCCGCTGCCGGGCAGGGTTAGACAAATGTTTTACTGGATGGTTATACAAGACTGTATTTTGCTCAGGCAGTGTGAGAGCTGCAAACATAATACAAAATATGCTTTTTTTATGATACTGCCAAGGTGTTCCGCAGAGTTATTACAATGGAGGCATGCAACTGCCAAATTCATTGCCTGTAGACAGGCTATTTTAAAGTCATCTGATCTCGGTGGCATTAATGCCCACTCGTCAAAGCTCTCCAGAACTCCGGTTTCAATGTCTAATTGGATTGTTACTAATTGATATTCAAACTTCCAAATAGGCTTTAAAAAAACCCCCACTATTTAAAGCTCTGTGCGTATGTGTGAGTATCTGTGGGTGTTTGTTCCCTAAAAGCTCTGGAACAGTCAGGGACTCAGCAGCCTTGGAGGGAAGCTGTGGCCTTCAGGTATTGCACAGTAATTAACCTGGGAAGAGGAAAGAAATCAGGGGAAATCACTGAAGAGACAGGGAGATCTTACTGCAACGGAGAAAGATTTAGCATTGGGAAGCTCAACAAGATGAATTTTTGACATGCTTTACAAGAGGAAAAAAAAACCTCAAAAATTTTCATTTTGGGTTGATCAAATTATGAGAAGTTAACTGACTAATCATTCTTTAAATTAAACTGAAGTCATGGGTGTTGCTACATAGTTAAAGCCTATTAATCAAAATGAAAATAATTACAGAAGTATGTTTTCCACTGAGGTTTATGCCACCGTTAGGTTCAATTTTTCAGTCTTTAATCTTTGAATTGAACCAAACAGTTTCCAAAACCCAGATGGCGCAGGCATACTAAACGCTGTATTGGAAGAATTCCCTTCACACATCCTTAAGCTCTCAAACAAACAGAAAACCCAGCAGAAGCATTCGAAATGGGTCTAATCTAAATGCAGTGTGAATTGCATCACGCCGGTCAGAGATGTTGGCGTGGAAGGTGCGCAGAAGTGTGGCAGATGCTATTCATATCTGCTCTATGCCGAATGGGTTATCAAAGACTGGAACAGGCTGCCCAGGGAAGGGGTTGAATCGCCGTCCTTGGATGTATTTAAAAGCTGTCTAGATATGGTGCTCAGGGACATGGTTCAGAAGTGGACCTGGTAGAGTGAGATAATGGTTGTACTTGATGATCTTAAAGGTCTTTCCCAGTCATACCGATTCTGGGAATGGCAAAGCACCGGAGGCACAGCACCGTCTGTGAGCAGGAGACACAGCCCATCTCCTGCCACCCTCACCTGGGCTCCTGGGGAGTTTCACACATGCAAACAGGGGAGCAGGATCACAGACTATATTTGCTATATCATCTTTTTTCAGCTGCTGGGACTACACAGCTTGCTGATTTCATTTGTTAATTAGCTGCCTTTGTCTTCAGATGTTCAAAGCAAGCAATGCTTGAAAGTCAGGATAATAATAAAACACGCATCTGGTAAACTGATTGAAACTGCTTCATCAAG